AAAAAGTTTCACTAAACAGGCTCTAGAACCAAAAAATGGAAATTGGGTCTAGCCCACTAAGACTGCAATAGTCATGTGGATCCATTGTTTCGCTCAAAACTTAGCAGCAGGCCCTTATCCAGCCAACAAACGTTACAAACCCACCACACAAAAACCTTCAGCAGGCCACATAGCCCGTAAGCCCATCTTAAAATTCAAAAGATAAAAGCTACGTTTTCGTTCGTCGAACCCAAAACCTCTTAGCCATCTCTTCAAAATGGGCTGTTTCAATTTATGGCCCTAATTTCGTCGTCCCTCCCTTTCGTCATTCTCCGTCTCTCTTCTGCAACTCACCCTTCGTTCACCGTCTTTGTTTTCGGCCACCTCCACCGACATCTATGGCCATAGATCACCTCATCATCATCAAGATCCATCCTTTGTTTCTTTTCCAGTGCGCAGAGTATTTTAAGTGATTTATCAAACTTTACAAGGAGCAACGGCTTTGAATTTTTTTTCCAATCATTAAAAATTCATTTTCATTTATTTAAATTTTTTATTTATTCAACAACTTCTTAGTAAGAAATGAACATCATATAAGTAAATCAACTGTGATTAACATTTTGATTCCTTTCCATTGAAAAAAAAAAGTAAATCATTTGATGGCTAAAAAAAAATTTCAAGTCCTTCAAACCAAGAATCAAATTTGTTTTTGAAGCAAAAATTTTGTAAAAAGAGAGAAGCTTTTATTTATGAAGTACCATAGAGAATGGAAGGCAAATGATGGGAAAACAGAGACAAAAGAAAAATAAATAAAAATATATTATACTAGCAATTGAGGAGAGGTAAGAGAATATTCTTATCTTCAGTATTGTCCCACTCCACTGATTTTTACCATTCCACTATTGGTTTTATTTTTTATTTTTTATTTTTTATTTTTTATTTTTTTAGAGAGCAGGAGGAGATGGTCGCTTGTTGCCAACAACATAAAGGAGAACCATCCTTAACTTTCAACATCCTTCCATGGTAATGGTATTGAGAGAATCACAAACATTACTTCATCTTCGGGATATATTCTCTTCAATTCTGGTGAGCAATTCAAGTTCAGTTTCCTTAATGTTGGAAGGGTAAATATTGCGATTGTTGTTTCAATCTCCTTCCTCTTCTCCCATGCTATTACCAAGGCAACTCAAGTAATGCATTTCTCCACTCACAAAAATCTTTTACTCCTCTCATTCCACTAGCAATGCCAACAATGACAGATGGCAAACCAGCACATTTATGCACTATAAGCTTCAAAATCTCATCCAAATTGGAAATTTGTAGAACATCTCGCCCAACCTCATCTAAAAACAAGTTCAAAGACTCTTGCTTTGGAAGAGGTAGCACCTTAACTATTTGACATCTCAAGAAGTTGCATACATCAACAGATTTGCTAATAATAAAAATTTTGGACCCATTCTCCCTTGTTGGTTCTGGGATTCCAACTCTTTGAAGAGTACAGTTATCACACACATCATCCAAGATCAAAGCATATTTCATTGTTTTCATAAGCTTCATCAACCTTGATGCTCGCTCCAATTCATTCGCATCATCTCGAAATCTTTTGTTCATTCTTCTTGCAATGTCATCTTGTAATCTTACAACATTGAATGGATGTGATACTGTGACCCAAATAACCTTTTTAAACCCAAGAGCCTCATTCAATAATTCATTGTGGATGTGTTTCATAATAGCAGTTTTGCCCACTAGTTTTAGTAGTGACTCCAGGAGTTCCACAAACACCAATCATTCCAACCTCACTACCTATCAAGTATCCCCTAATTTTTTCCTTCACATCAACCTCGCCCACCATATTCTCTGTTGGCAAAGGGGTTCCAATAGATGGAGGCCTTTCAATTACAAGAGCTTCAGGAAAATTACCCTGATCATAAATTTCCCTGACTTCTTGAATCTCTTTTGACGAATACGTCTTCCAAGGCTACCACGTGAGAAGTATGAAGCATTCTGAACCTCTTCTTCAATATCTAGCATTTCATCAATGACGTCCTTGCCTCTCCAAGCCATTCCCGCACTTCTTCTTTGACCTTTTTTACTGTGAGATCCACTATTCTTAATTCTGCTTCTTTATCGCCTCTTTTGCGTTTTAAATCTCTGACCCTTTTTTTTAGATCATCCACATAATTTTGGAAGTTTATGTGACAATCAAGATGTTCTCCTACAACTCCAAGAACTTTTTCACGAGCTATTTCAGTGACGCTTTCAGAAATTGGCTCAAGAACTCTTTCACGAACTTTTTGAAGAACTTGCCCTATAATAGACTTCATGGAGAAAATGGCTAAAATGAAATAAAAAGGAGTATTATTAAAATGTTACTTCAGGTAGTGTATTACTTAAAAGGAAAAAATAAATGTATTTTTTTGGTATGTAGTGATTAGAAATCGAATCCATGACTTGTGGAGAAAAGCACAGAATAATTCGACTAAAAATCAATAGATAGTTATCTTCTAAAAGAAAAAAGAGTAATGAAATATATGAACAATGATGGATCTATACTTTAGTTCAATATATACTACACAATACACTTACTAAAAAATTATTATTTTTCAATATAAAATTAAAAATAAATAAATTTAAAGATGCAATTATATATAAGATATAAAAACTAATTAAATTGATTGTACTTATATTATTTTTAATAATTAAATCAAAATAAATGTCAAAAAATATATTAAACCGAGTTATACTAATTATTTTCCAAAATACATTTCACTATAGCCTAAGCCTAGACTAATATATCACACATTAAAATACACTTCAAATTAAATTTTAAATAATAAAAAATAGGCAATACCTTCTGCTATTCTGGCTTTATCCATGAAAAGCAGCAACACTTAATTTTTCCCTCTATATAGTTTATTTTATGAGATTTTGAGAAGCAAAATATATTGAACTCTGAAAATTCTAATTGGTAGTTTGATTACATCACATTTTTTTATCTTTTTTTTCATATTTTATTAAAACAATATAAATCTAGGGTATTTTTCTTTAATTTTTAAGAGATAAGACAAGTAAGCATTAACATCTATATTAAAAAAGTATTATACATTTATATAATTATTAAAAATATATAAATATTATTTAAAATTAATTTAATTGTAACAAATGAACATTTTTATTAGTTTGATGTGAGGAAAAGTGATATGTGAAAGCAATCAGACTACAAAATTTTGTTATATCGTTAGAATATGAAAGTGGTCCTTCAACTTTAAAACTTTCACCGATTTTTTCCTAAACTTTTAAAAATACTATAATGGTTCCTGAACATAATATTTAGCTTCATTCAAATATAGCGAAAATTCCAAGGATTTGGTGATGTGGAGTTAGTTTTGATGGATGAGAGAAGAGAAGAGGTAGCAATGTAATTTGCATACTCTAATTTATTAATTAGTTAAATTAGTTTATGATCATATCATTATTTTAAAAATTAAATAAAAACTGTTTATGAGTTCTACACCAAATCCTTGGAATTTTTCCATTGTGAATGGAGCTAGAAAATTATGTTCAAGGACCATTTCGATATTTTTGAAAATTCAGGACTGAATTAGTGAAAATCTTAAAGCTCAAAAACTACTTTGGACTTTTAACCAAAATTAGTACCAGCTCAATAAGGAAATGGCCCAATCCAAAAGAATAAAGCCTATAAATCCATTTTTTCCTCCATATACTTTTATTCTTTGAGTTTCTGAGAAGCAAAATATATTAAACTCTAAGCTCTTTTATATGAAAAAATATATCATACCGTTTCATAAAATAAAAAATAAAAAAAGGGAAAAAATTATATCATACCTGGTCGCAACTCAGAGGGCTTTGTGTGATTTTTTTTTTTTTTTGAAACGAAAGATTTTCAGAGGGCTTTGTGTGATTAAAATAACGAAGAAAGCAGGCAAACCTCCTTAGTTCTTGCGCAGGGTATTTTGGTGCGAGAAGAACTGGTATCAAATAAAGAGGAGAAAAATACATACTGAGGAAATCATAAATTTTCTTAATTTAATTTGTGTCGCATCAAACAAATGGCAGAGCGAAAATGGTAGAAAATGCTAGTATGTATGTATGTACCTGGATAATTAAGATCTTAAAGCATGCAGAGAAGAAACAAGGTTATGGATAAAGAGAAAGTTTAAGGTGGGGAAGAAGCCATTTTAACAATGAAGAGTGATTTCCTCACTGAACGTACCGATGATCCTTCGTAGCAACACCCAAAAGAATGGTTTCGGCCTTCCTAGAAAATGCTTAGAAAAAGGCAGCCAATGGTTTTCCTGGAACATGATTGGGAGTCTTTCTAGCTTGTAGCTACTCCCATAAACAAAAGAATGGAGTTTCCTGAAAAATGCTTAGAAAAAGGAGGGGAAAGATATTCGTCGACAATAAATAGAACTCGAGAAACCTGAAAAAACAATACAAAATGGTAACAGGTTGATCGATAGCCGTGGGAACAAGCAATTTTTGTCCGTAAAAGTCGCTGAAAGAAAACATTTTTATTTGTGTGATGAGTGGGAAAAGGTCTTAAAATCAACGAAATTCTTCCATCGGATACACCTTGGAAAAAGGTGAACATTCTTTCTCCCCTACCTTATCTTTATATAGTTTATTAGTATAAAAACAAGTCAGTCAACATTAATAAATCTGGACAAACATGAATCTTAAAACAAGTCACAAGGCCTAAGAAACCAAAGAAACAGTTTAAACAGAACTAATTTCAGCAATTGAAGCTTGGAAGCAATAATAAATCAATTCAGTAACATCACAAACAATATCTCCCTTGTCCCAGCATTAAGACTATCAATCCTTTCCTGGTCCGTCCAAGAATTCAGCAACATGATATTGTTTCATGTCAATTAGTCTTCACCAGCATTATGACGAGGTAAAAAGGATCGGATGACATAAAAAAAAAAGCAATTTTACTTTCAACAGCTAGCAGCATTCAAGCCCCTTAATTCAACAACACAAAACTGTACCAACAAATTTTTAATGTTCAATCCATCATGCCTTCGCAACTGAACCGAATGATAGCATGTTTATCTCCCAGTTAAGTCCTAATGCAAGCCTGAAGATGCTCAAGCCTCCTGACTTGAACCTCTATCTTGGCTTAGTCACAGCAACCATCCCATTCTGATACAAGAAAGGAAAAAAAAAAAAGGTTGTTGAGTGACAATTTAATATGTCCCAGGTGTCTCTGATTTAAGCAGGGAAACATTAGGTAAGTGCAAAAAATAATGGAGCATAAACGTTTAAATATGTACCTATAAATCCATATCTTGAGAACACCCTTTTTTCTTTGGCTGTCATATCTTGAGAACACCTTTCATGAGCTGATTGTGGATGTGAAGGATTGAAGAAACGTCATAATAATATGGCATATATCAAGATGGAATCACGGAAAAAGGAAAACATGCAAACTATGAATAGAAAAGGAACAAGAACAGCTAGTACCATACAAAAGTTTGATTCAACATGCTTACCTGCAGTTGGGTTCTGCTTTCCCTCTCTGACATTTACATGGAGATTGAACATTTTCCCTTCTAAAAGGTTTTTTTGTTTGTATAGAGTAACAAGGGTCCGAACCTCCTATGATTGTCATGAATCTCATCATTCTTAATCCATAATAAAATTTTACCAGCAAAACAGCACTATATACTTGGTTTTCAAAAATAAATCATAATTGATCACCAGAGAACTCATTTCAGGAGCTACTATATATATGTTGATAATCACCTTCCAAAGCAATTCAACACCTTGGCCACTGAGATTGGCAAATGAAGAGGTGCGGCCAATGAGACATTTAGGGGGACAGACCACAAATTTATGTCAATCTCTTTATTATAATCAACTACTTTGTTCATGGCATTTGTGGACTCTTCAGACCAGCTAGCTAATTTGAAGTCACACACTTGTTTGGCTGTGAGGTAGAGGTGGTCTGGTACAGTGTTGCAGACAGAATGTATCCAAAAGTGATTCTAGCAAAGCAATGTCAATAAAATATTCAATGGTTTCAACACCATGTATATCATCAAATTCACACATGCCTTCAATGAGAAACATAAAGATTTTCAGTCTATTTTGAATGATTGTTGCAACATAAATGTGGGTGAATACTTGCAAATGAAACATTTGAGATTGATTAATAGCTCCGCAAGTTGTGGTACATAGCGGTCCGCATGATAAAAGAAAGTTTTAGAGAGCATAATCTTGAATTTTCCATGATACAACTAGGTTCTTTTTTTCAGCCCCTCTGTTGATGGACAGCTAGGTCCTTTAACAGCTGAAAGATAGTCATACAATTATGTCATACTCAAAATAATAGAAAAATGAATAAGACAATTACACCAACTCATATATCCATTCACATAACCTCCATTAAGCTAGATGCCAAGGTACTACTCCAATGGCGGAGACTCAGCTTCAGAGAAGCAGTATAAAAGAAAGTTTTGAGCCCTACTGCAACATGTACATCTCTTGTTATCAAACATTGACGGCTTCAAGTTGAATAGAATGCTTGATAAGGAGAAAGACAGCAATGAAGGTCTGCCACAGAGGGAGCCTCAAGCCCTCATGTGGTCAAGTTTGCCATTGGAGTGTTTAGTTAAATTGATAGATGAAATATGAGAGAAATTCATATAATCATATACTTACGTACCTTTGGTCTGCCATGGCCTATGTAGATATTGGGCTCAATTGCCATTGGGATTGCAACAATAATGTAATTAAAGAAATTAAGATGTTGAGTTTGATAGTTAACAGTCACATACATAAAACAAAAAGTTTATCAAATCTGTTCTAGAGCTTACTATAACATTACATTGTAAAACAAATTATTTAAAGAAACAACAAACAAGCTTTAATTAAATGAAGTTCATCCATATAGCACAAAACAGCAAATTAAAACAGAGATGGCATTGAATTCAAGTGAGTGTGAGTCCAATTTTTTGTCTTCCTTTGCTATAAATGTTGCTAAGTTGAAGAAATAGGTATGAGATGGTAAGAGATGCAGCCTGCACCAACATTTATGGAGAAATCACTTAATTTTAAAGATGCAAATAATAGTCAACCAAAAAAAAAAAAAAGTTCCTGAAAACATAAGCATGTATACCTGGGCTGGGCATTAGAAATTGGACACAGGTTGACCAGGTTGATATTGAATGGATGAAATTTCTATAAATGAATAATTTAAAAAGGAATTAGCATCTAATTAAGGGAGATGGACATCTCATCAGAAGCAAATCAACAGACATATATACCTGAGCTGAGCTGGGCTGGGCTGGGCATTAGAAACTAGTCAAATGGAATGGTTAAGACCGATTTCAATCTCTACCCAAGAGGAGCCATCGCTGTGAGTAATCAAAAATGGGATTAGCAAGATAGACATCTTAGGAGCAAATCAATCAAGATTAGATAATTAAGCAAATCAAAGGAGATTAACACTAGGATTCATTCAGAAACAAGAGATAGAAACATTTATTTATGAAATACCAGTGACAGAGAAGGAATGGAAAGCAAGTGATGGAAAAAGGGAGAGTAATGAGACTTACCCACGATTTTCGAGGAAAGGTTGGAGGCTATTCTTATCGTAAGGATTCTCCCACTCCACCCATTCCCACCATTCTTTTGGATTGGAAATAAGGATAATTTCGACAGCAGGAAAAGATGGTTGGCCGTTTTCCCTTCCAAGATAAAAGGGAATCCTCTTTACCTTCTCACAGCGCCTTATTTCGAAGGCATTGAGAGACTCACAAACCATTGCTCCTCCTTCAGGGTAGATTCTCCTCAATTCTGGCAGGAATTTCAACCGCAATATCCTTAATTTCGGAAGAGTAATCGATCTTGTAGTTGTTTGATTTCTTTCCTCTTCTTCTTCCCATCCTATTATTTCCTCCATCCCCAAGCACTCTTGAACATCAATCTTCTCCAAGTTTTGGAGGCTCTGACCCTGCAATAGCTCACATGGAAACAACTTCTTCAATTTTGCACAATAAAATACGCTCAGGTCTTTAAGATTGGAAAAGATGTGAGGGGATATTGTTGGTGCAAGCGATGTAGTTGTTTTTTCCACTTTCACAACATCCCGCAAGCTATGCAAATCCTCTAGGGATAAGTTTGCAAGGTTATTCATAACTGTCAAGGAAGATGATGAAGATGACGACGAGGAGACCACACACTCTATCCCTTCGCAGGAACCCAGTTGATATGTTTGCAATTGAGTCAAATTTTTCAGAAAAATAGAAATATCAGCAGCCGTATTGCAACTGAATATCTTCAAATCTAGAAGGTCATCTGGAAGCACCGGCACATCGTTTTCTCCTATCTTGCATCCGTGTAAAGCTACTTCTTTAATATCACTGTCGTAGAATTTCAAAGGATCCTCCCCCTCCTCCCAGTCGGCCCACGGTCCCACCTCAAGCAAGTAACTTCTGGGTCTTCTTCCAAAATGGTTCACCTTGCTAACAAAACTGTTGAATTCTTTCAACCAATCAAATCTACATTCAAAATATTCCAGCTTCTTCAATCTTGCTACTTCTTCTCCTCTTATATCAGCTGCAACAATCCGTAGGTGTTGGAGGCGAACGAGCTCACTGATTTTTCCTCTTGGTAGCACCTTCAGGTCTGGACAAGATAAATCAAGATATTCTAGATTTCCTAACATTTCAATGCCTTCAGGAGCTACATGAAGGCCTGCTCTCAACAAATCCAACTTCTCCAGTGCTTTAAGCTTTGACAAGGAAGGCATGCATTTTAATCTGGTACATCCACAGAGAATCAGTGCTGTAAGATTCTCTAAGCTGCATATGGAATTAGGTAGAGCCTCAATGTCAGTGTAGGAAAGATTAAGAAACTCCAGTTTAGGCATGTTTTCTAAAAAACACTCTGGAATTTGCCTCAATCTTGGATTATTCTTCAAAATCAAGGTTGAGAGCATCAAGCATTTGGGGGACATATTTATAGGGATATATGATATTTGATCTCCCATGAGGGAAACCTTGTCTAGATCTTCAACCCATTCATCCTCATCTGGTATCTCTCTCAATATCGTTTGAGCTTTTACCATAAACCTACCACGACCTGTGCTCTTAACACGCAATGCCATGTCCCTCACAGCATCATGCATTGCAACATATTCTCCTTGATATACATCGCCCTGTAACAGACAATTTTTTAAAAGCCTATTTAAAATAGCATGTCCTTCATCATGCATTGCTCTTCTGCTCTCTAATTTTTCAATAAGTCCCTCATAAATCCAGGCTTCAATTAGATCTTCTCTTTCAATCTGCCAATCCTCCGGATACAATGAGCAATATGAGAAACACTCTTGAATGCTTGAATTTGGTAGACGGTCATAACTGAACTTCAAACGTTTAAATATCCTGTCTTCTGAATCTCTCTCTGTACCCACCACACAGTCACACAATTGACGTAATGCTCTTCTCCACTCACGAATATCTGTTACGCCTCTCATGCTCCCAGCAATGACGACAATGGCCAATGGCAAACCAGCGCATTCTGCCACCATATCCGTCAAAATCTTTTCCAAATTAGGAATTTGTAGAATGTCTCGTCCAACCGTATCTAAAAACAAGTTCAAAGACTCTTGCTCTGGAAGAAGAGGCACCATCACTATCTGACATCTCAAGTGGTTGCATACATCAACTAATCTGCTGGTAATAACAATTTTGCACCCATTTTCTATTGTTGGTTCTGGTATTCCAACTTCGTGAAGACTAAATGTGTCCCACACATCATCTAAGATCAATGCAAATTTCTCTGTTTTCATAATCTTCATCAATGTAGATGCCCGCTCCAATTCATCACCATCAAGACTTCTGTTCATTTTTCTAGCAATGTCATCTTGTAATTTTACAACACTGAGTGACTGTGATACTGTAACCCAAATAATCTTTGTAAACCCGATAGGTTTATTCAGTAATTCATTATGGATATGTTTCATAACAGTGGTCTTGCCGACTCCACCAATTCCACAAACTCCAATTATTCCAACCTCAATGTCACCCAAGTATCCCCAAATTTTTTCCTTCACATTAACCTCGCCCACCATATTGTCTGTTGGCAAAGTGATTCCAATAGGTGGAGGTCTTTCAATTACAAGACCTTCAGGGAAACTACCTCGATCATAAAGTTCTCTCACCTGTTGAATCTTTTGACGAACACGTCTTCCAAGGCTACCACGTGACAAGTATGAAACAATCTGCACCTCTTCTTCAATATCTGGCATTTCAATTTCAGTGACCCTCCTTGCATCTTCAAGCCATCCTTGCACTTCTTCTTTAACTTGTTTTTCCGAGTCATCCACTGTTAGTAGCTCCGCTAACTTATCATTTCTTCTGCGTTTTAGATCTGCAATTCCTTTTTTAAGATCATCCACATCATTGTGGAAGTTTTTCTGACAATCTACATATTCCCCTACCCTTCCAACAACTGACCCTATGATGGACTCCATGAAGAAATTTTCTAAAAGAAAGTAAAGAAGAGTATTATTAAAATGTCTGTTTAGGTAGGTATACTTTGGATGACCAAAGAAAAGGTACGTAGTGTATGCTTACAAGTAAGGAAAAAAAAAAAAGTAACTAAGTATATTCGTTTTTTTTTTATTTTTTTCATTCTCTAAAATTTTACAATGTTAAATTATTTAGTATCGTAACTGGTTTTCATCATTTTCTAAAAAAATATATTGATAAATAATTTTCACAACAAATTTCTAAGGGTTTTTTAACGCATAAAAGAAAGTGCAAACTAGTATTAAAACTCTTATTTCATCCGAAAATAACTATTACTTAAAATTTATCTCAATTAATTTTTTAAGATAGGTGCATATTTTTTTATACTTTAATGTTTTATTATCAAGTATTTATTAAATTTAATTATTTTTCTACTTTAATCATAATACTAGGCTCTAAAATTGCAATTAATTCGACACCTTTTTAATAATTACAAACAAAATAATATTAATTTATACTTAAAATTAATTTTCAATTAATAAAAATAAAAATTATTTTGAACACTTATTAATTTATTATAAACATATATCCAACTTCCATATCAATTAAAATTTTTTAAGCTGGTAAACACCATAGAATAGTTTATCAAATTTTCATTAATTTCTTTTATCTTAACATCTATAACTATTATTATTATGGATCATGATTCATGCACACTCCCGATTCAACACTCGAGGGTGCACATTGCACTTAACCAAATAATTTTTAAAGTAAAATTATAAATTTACCCTCTTTTTTTTTCATCCAGGTTCTCGAGAGAACCCAGACCATTGGAGAACCCAGATGGGTTCTCCGAGAAGAACCCCGGGTTCTCGAGGATAACCCAGGTCTGGGTTCTCTCGAGAACCCATCGGAGAACCCATATGGGTTCTCCTCGAGAACCCAAGAAGAACCCTGGGTTCTCCTGGAGAACCTAGAGACCATCTCCTTGCATCTCATCGTCACCACCGAAATAGGAGGAGAGGGGCAGAACCATAGATCCCTCTATTTTCCATCACCATCGTCACCATCACCACCATCATCATGGTCATTGCCAAGCAGCCCCCAAAAAAAAAAACAAATAAGAGGGTGAAGCAGATCTAGTTTCGGGGAAGGAGAAGAGTTCGGCAGAGGAAGATGGAGAGACAAGAAGAAAAAGGGGTATTGAGAGGGGGATGACTTTTAAGGTTAAATTTGTAATTTTATTGTTAAAATTATTGGGTTATTATGGGTGTGCACCCCCGGGTGTCAAACCAGAGGGTGCACATAGCATTTTCCTATTATTTATCTTTTTTTTTTACCCAAATTAATCTCCTCTCTCTTGAATACTCATATTAAAAGATTTTAAATCAAAATATAAAAATATAACACATTTGCATATTCTTTTGGTACCTTTTCATTTACTTATACTTTATATTTCATTAATTTTTCTTATGACTCCATCTCTTAACTTAATTTTACATATGTTATCAGTATATATTTATCTACATATTTATCTACCTACCTGTATTCACCATCACTTTCTCTTTTATATTAATAATTTATTTGTTATTACTCAGATTTTTCTAACCTATGCCATTAAAGGTGCAATTATTGTATTTTTTAGTCATTAAATTACATAAAAAAATAAAAAATAATTTTAATTTTATCAATTAACTAATTAAAATAATACACGTGATATTAGTACTAACATTAATATCAATTTTTTAATTTTTCTATAAGATTTAATGGCTGAAAGGTGCATTAATTATACCCTTAATTGTATCCTAAGGCACATGTTTAAAAAAACCTTATTCTTTCTCCCCTCAAAAGTTGCTACAATCATTATCAAGTTGATACGTATTAGTTCTACATACAATAATTTGTAGTTATTCATAATCCATAATGTCTAATTTTTCTAAGTCTCTCACACACTTTATCTATATTAGACATGTTATAAATCAAAGTATAAGAGACATAACTTTTTAATATTATTCCATTGGTACTTTTTTACTAACATGCCATTACTCCATCCCTCATTAATTTTTCTTGTAACACCATCTTTTAACTTATCATCCCACATTTTCTCACTATATTTATTATTCTAAACTATATTTGCCCTCACTTTTTCTTTCCACATTATTATTATTTTTAATTATTATTCTTTCTCTTCTTATCATTCGTTCTCTATTATTCTTTTTCAATCACACCTTCCATCTTCACCTATCATTATATATTTTTTACCCAATTTTTCACTTTTAATATATCATTAGATATTTCCTGCTTTCTTAGTATTACAATAACATATATGAAATAAATTTATACATATCCAAAAAGTTATAAGCTTTTACCATTATAAGGTAAAGAGTCTACATAATCCCTAATTTTTCCTCTTTATATTAGTATTTTATTCATTATTATTCTTTCTCTCATTATCCTCTATCTCTATTATTCTTTTATAATCATCTCCTTAAATCTTTATATATCAAAATGTATCTATTTTTTTACACCATTGTTTCCCTCTTAACACTTTTTTACTTGCTTATACTTCACCTTTTAGTGATTTTTCTTTGGATCCCATCTCTTAGTCTATTCTCTCACATTTTATCATTATATTTATCTATCTACTCTATATTCATCCTCATTTTCTCTCTATATTTAATAATTTATTTGTTATTATTTTTTCTCCTTTTATCCGTATTTTCTCAATATTATTCTTTCTTAGTCACTCCTTACATCTACTCTATTTATTATTATATATCATTTTTACCCCAATATTCTCTCTCTCCCTTTCTCTCTCTCTCTTATCGTGTGTATATTAAAATTGTTTAAACTTTTGCTTAATGAGTATGTTGTAAGTTTGTAAGGGCTTTTACTTCACCATTTTTATAAATTTTTTAATAATTTTTTGTAATTTAGATTTTTAATAAAGAAAATATCAAAATATTTTTAGGCTCTTTGCAAATATTCTTTCTTTATTTTTAAGTTTCTTATAAGTGCTCTTACTTCTCGCTTACACTTAAATGGTTTGTTTAGAACCATTCTATACTTTCAAATTGGTTTTTCAAGTTGCTATAGGAATTTGGACAAAATCGTTAATTAATATACTAAACGACCTAATTTAAAACTTATAAAGCCCTTAAACGATCCAACACATTAGTAATATTGTCTGCTTTAAACCATTGCACCTCATAATACTAAAATGTCTCAATGTAAGTTAATGGGTATTGATTTATACCTAGTATCTTTCTTGTACTTTATTGATGTGAGATTTGCTTAATGATAATACAGTTTGTTTGGTTAGTAGTGGTGACTATTCCTTGATCAAATTATAAAAATAAACTAAAATTAAAAATGTTCCACACAAAGTTAATAACAACTAAGACTATACTTAAATTTCTTTTTACATAGGTAAAGAATTAACCAATACATATTTCTCAATAAAAAAGAAGGAATGCGTGTTCTCATTCATACCTTAATTTATTAGAAATTTGTTAACATTAAAGACTAATTAATTATTCTTAACTTTAAAAATTTTCTCAAATTTACCTTATTTTTATAGTATACTATTACTAAGACACCAGCCAGGCATAACCTTAATTGTATGCTGACATTTTTCTCCTCCATATATGATTATTTTATGAAATGCAAACTCTGTGTTAAGAATTTTTTATTTTATAATTTAGACTGTATCAAATTATACAATAAGTATTTTATATATCAAACTCTACATTCTTTTATAGTTTTATTTTTTAAAAAAAATACCTGGTACCAGCTCAGCGGGCTTGAAGAATTATGACCAAAACAACAAAGAAAGCAAGGAGACCTCCGTAGTCCTTGCGCAGGCCAGGTAATTAATTTGGTGTGAAAATAACTGATATTGAATGAAGAGGAGAAAAAAATACACGTAAGGAAATTAAACTGCAAGAAATTAGTTAAAGACATCTGATCAACAAAATAAAGTATATACTGTAATAAATTGTTAAAAAAATTCTTAGTTTCTCTTTAGTTAAACTCTCTATTTGCATCTATATGATTAATACTCTTAATTTTTATTTTCGATCAACACTTTTTATAATTTGAAATTTATAAAAATTCCAAAATTATCGAGTAGGTCACATGCAAGTTAAGATTTTTTACGAGGTTCAAATTTTGAAGAATGTTTACCGAAAGTGAAAATTTTAGAGGATATTGATCATAGAAAATAATAATGTTCATTGTGGGGGTTTGGCCTTCTTTTTTTATAGATCAAACAAACCGGCGAGTGAAAATGGTAGAAAATGCATTTATGTACCAGGAAATTAAATTAAGATTTTAAAGCTTACAGCGAAGAAACAAGGTTAAGGAAGAAGAGAGACTTTAACGATGGGGAAGATGCAATTTTAACAACAATGAAGAATGGTTCCCTCGCTAAAACTACTGATGATCCTTCGTAGCAACAACCAAAAGAATGGTTTCCCCCTTCCTAGAACATGCTTAGAAAAATGCAGCCAATGGTTTTCCTGGAAAATGCTTGTGAGTCTTTCTAGCTAGTAGCTGCTCCCATAAACAAAAGAATGGGTTTCTTGGAAAATGCTTACCTTAGAAAAAGCAGGGGAAAGATGGTCGTCGACAATAAAAGAAACTCGAGAAACCTGAAAAAACAATACAAAATGAGCTGATTGATAGCCTCACATCCACATGGGAGAAAGAAGTTGTGTCGGTACAGGCAGCTGAAAAAGATAACATTTTTTTTTTAATTTGTGTGATGTCAAGAAAAGGTCTTAAAATCAACGAAAACCTTCCACCCGAAGCGCCTTGGTGAAGGGTGAAAACCATACCAGGTTCCATCCCTCTTAATTTTTATTATTATTATCCGTCCTTTTAATCTGTACTGTTAATATATGTATATCTTTTACTAATTTTCAGTTATTAAAAATTCACATTTAATTTTGATTAATTTAAAATTATTTGTATTGAATTTTATATGAGGAAAAGCTTTCATAACATCTGTTATTTCATTTATAAAACTTAAATTTGAAATTTTATTTAAGGAGAACTGAATTCTTTTCATTCAAATCAATAAGTCATTAATATGTACAGTTAATATATAAATTAATAATATCTTTTTTAGTACTAATTATTATTAAGACTAAAAATTAATATTTATTTAATTAAAATGATTTATGTAATATAAAGGATGAGGATAGTAATTCTTTCAATTTCTTAAAAAATTAATGTCAAGTTTT